GATATTCACATTGTCAAGAACTACAAACTATAATAAAACGATAAATTTTCAACTTGAAAGTTAAAATAATATTAGTTAATTACTTTCTTAGTTTTCAACTAGTTATCATGTGTATATACTTTCATTATAATTTGCAGATATAGACAACATAAATGTCATGACAACTTAGTTTAAACACTTGAAAATATTTTTTCTTAAATTCAATTGTAGAATTTGTGTTCATATAATATATTTTCCTTATTTCTTTTCTATCATTTTTTCAACTTTGTTGTAATATGTTCATATTTAAATGTATGTATAGTTTTCTAATTTAATTCTAAGTTTATAACTAATATAAAAAATGTTTTTGATAATTTCATTATTATAAAATAAAATTAATTACTATTAAATTAAACAATAAAACTGGAAACAGGCTTAAAGATTATAAACAAAAATTACAATTTTAACAACAACAAAATAAAAAGTATATAGTATTTACTTTTGAAAAGTTTTGAATCTGCACAGACATTATTTCTCATTAAAATAATAATAATTTTGAATGAATATAGAATATATTAGAATGATACAATGGCAAATAATTTATCATCATATACTTCACCAAATTTAAATGAGGAAAATTATATTAAAATGTCAAAAGTTTTATTGTTTTTATATATTACTACACTGTACAGAGATAAATATAAACAACATATATTTTTGTCAATATCTATTCAAATTAGCAACAATTCATTTATAAAAACTTAACCTAATAACACATATAACTAAGTAAATAATTGTACTGTCCATTTCATAATTTAATATATTACACATTACAAAATTTATTTTTGTAAAACTGAAGGTTTATTTTGACATATATATGTTTCAGACATTGCTCATATTAATACTGAATATAGAAATTTATTTGAAAACATTGCTATAATCGGTTATATATGGAGTTTAAAAATTAATACGACGTCAACTTATCGCTACGATGACTTATTACTAAGGAAGTACTATTGTAATTGAGTATATATAATACTCAATTACAATAGCAATTTTAAATGTATTTTTTTCAATAGAATATATATTTATAATTTCATAGCATTTTACTATATGTTAATTGTGAGATGCTACACTTACCATTTATGCAGGAGATAGAATGTTGCTTGATGAGAAAAGAATGTCCTAGTTATATTTCTCCCTCATTTTTCAAGTACTGTAGAAAAGTCAAACCAGTTACTGTCGAGCTAAAGATATTCGTTCGGCGAAATCATTAAAATTTCACTGGAATAATAATTATAATTTTATGAAGTTTATATCGATGTAGCATGCCCTTTTCGTTATCACAGAGTAAATCGCAAAATGATTAACAATCCGCAAATATTCACATACGAAATAGCATGCTAACTCCTCCGACATGCGCATTAGAAGAATAGTGTTTTGGAATTGTTTCGAAATCCAATACATAGTCTTATGAGTAAATAGACTATTTTTATATCTATTATATACAAAACAGCTTAAAAAGTTAAAACGTATGTAACTTTAACAATGGCTTATATTAATTATGTTAAAATTTTAAAATAAAATCTGAATAGAATATTTTAAAATTATATTTCTTTTCCAACGTAATATTGGATGTGCGTTATAAAAGAGATTTTAAATACCACTCGGATGGAAAGAAAAATCATATTTTTCAGGTTTCGTTCAGGTTCGTGTATGTATTTTCATCTATAAATATTTATATTATTCTCTGACAGTGCTTTTATCAAAACTAAATGCTATTTTCACGAGTTTTATATTTTAAAAAGTGACTTAAATAAAAAAATATACAAGAGAAAAAGGGAGAATTTATTCAAAAATTGCTTATACTGTAAAATATTCGGCGACTTTGGATATCAGATCGCTTTTTGTGTAACTACCTGCAAGGAAGTTTCTAAGATTACGAGCTTGCTGCAGCGATCGTGTTTGTGTATTGGTAAATAAATATGTCGGTTGTCTTTATTTTTTGTGTATTCAGTGTAATGTATTGACCAAAATAAGTTATGCGGCCCACTGTGAAAAAAGTTTGGTGACCCTGGTTTAGATCGAAGAGCTTACATTGCTGTAAGAGAACAATAGACCAAGAAAAACTTTAATCTGGTCAATATGTCTTTGCTTTTACGTTAGCACATTTTCGGATGTCAGCTTACATGTGGACTACCTCTTTTTTTTTCTCTTATTTCATAAAATACGGCTGGGTTTCGGGACTCAAAAATTGGGCTATAAGTAGCAGATTGAGATATTTGAAGGGTTCTAGGCTACTACTTTTGGGAGACTTACTACTTTTTGAGTCACTTTAGAAATAATTTTGGCTACAATTCGAGGAATTCTGCTTTATTTTTTTATAAAATCTATCTGCAACTTGTAAAGTTCTCATCGAACACGTGCTGTTACTTGCAATTTATTTATATTGTTATTATTAATTAACGAAAACAGCATTCTGTATGCGTAGCCGTATTCCATTTGCTTAAGTGTTGATTTTGAATAATTAAACTGGTAGAGTTCCTAATTGCTCGTTTAGTTTGTATATAGTTAATTGGGGCTTCCATATCCTCATCTATCTAATGGAGGATGGACGACAGTGGAAATTTATGGGTCTACAATTATTTCAAATTGCAGTCCAACCAGATCGCAACAGCAAATCTCGTTGGACTGCAATGCCTGAAGAAATGTTAATTATCTTAGGCTGCGTACACACTAGGCGTTTTTAAACGCGCGTTTAAAAACGCCTAGTGTGTACGCAGCCTAAGATAATTAACATTTCTTCAGGCATTGCAGTCCAACGAGATTTGCTGTTGCGATCTGGTTGGACTGCAATTTGAAATAATTGTAGACCCATAAATTTCCACTGTCGTCCATCCTCCATTAGATAGATGAGGATATGGAAGCCCCAATTAACTATATACAAACTAAACGAGCAATTAGGAACTCTACCAGTTTAATTATTCAAAATCAACACTTAAGCAAATGGAATACGGCTACGCATACAGAATGCTGTTTTCGTTAATTAATAATAACAATATAAATAAATTGCAAGTAACAGCACGTGTTCGATGAGAACTTTACAAGTTGCAGATAGATTTTATAAAAAAATAAAGCAGAATTCCTCGAATTGTAGCCAAAATTATTTCTAAAGTGACTCAAAAAGTAGTAAGTCTCCCAAAAGTAGTAGCCTAGAACCCTTCAAATATCTCAATCTGCTACTTATAGCCCAATTTTTGAGTCCCGAAACCCAGCCGTATTTTATGAAATAAGAGAAAAAAAAAGAGGTAGTCCACATGTAAGCTGACATCCGAAAATGTGCTAACGTAAAAGCAAAGACATATTGACCAGATTAAAGTTTTTCTTGGTCTATTGTTCTCTTACAGCAATGTAAGCTCTTCGATCTAAACCAGGGTCACCAAACTTTTTTCACAGTGGGCCGCATAACTTATTTTGGTCAATACATTACACTGAATACACAAAAAATAAAGACAACCGACATATTTATTTACCAATACACAAACACGATCGCTGCAGCAAGCTCGCAATCGCTTTCCTTAGAAACTTCATTGCAGGTACTGTACTTACACAAAAAGCGCTCTGATATCCAAAGTCGCAAAAAGTCGCCGAATTTTTTATTTCACTGATTTTCCTAAAAATTATATTATTGTCTGATGCAAAAATCATATTGGACTTTTACTTGCACTTATAGTTTTTTCTACATAGTAAGTTTATCTACAATCTATGATATTTCCATAAATAATTATATTTTACCTCATTTGTGGCACGATGCTGCAGCGGGCCGGATGAACTGACCTCGTGGGCCGTAGTTTGGTGATCCCTGATCTAAACGAACAAGTTAATTAACATATGCATATCACAGTTTGGACAGAATTTTCACTTTGAATTTCGAAGCAGCCATATTTCGAACTAACCGAATTTCTTAACATTAAATCTCTATATCCCCGAACGGGAAAAATGTAAAATTACGAACTAATGGAATTTCGAATTAACGAGGATTTCCTGTATATATATTGTTTAAAAAATTACATTTGATTTTATTACATTCGTAAAGAAATGAAGCCCGAATTGCTGAAATAGTTTTAGAAAGGAAATACTGTAATAGATTTATCGAGTACAGTCGACCCCCCTATAATTACGGTCCCTATAATTACGATTCCTATAAAACTACGAAAAAATATACGTATTTTGGAAATGTTGAGTCGAATTANACATAGCCAAAGATTGAAGCTCCACAGCACTGGCGAAAATTTAAATTTGCCGACTGGAAATCTTTCGGATGATTGACTTTCGGAAAATCGACGCTCTACTGTATTTATTTTGTTTGTACAAAATAAAAAAAATAATTTTTAACGATGCAATAGTCTTCGTTTGGCTTAACATCGACGAAAATTCAACGCGAAGCGACACGCAACGGAGAAAAATTTCAACATGGGATAGGTTAATATATTTTTCTTACATAATCGGTCATCCGAAACATCGATTTTTTCCCCGAACAACCCCAGTCCCCAATTGATTCGGATAATCGACGCTCTACTGTATCTGTAAAATTTGAAAACTCGGTGAAATTGAAATTGCAATACACAAGCGATGGTTTAGATTTGTCAGAAACATCGCATACAAGACCGTCAGGGTGACTAATGTAAATGTTAAAGTACAATAGACCCCTATAAAACGGGTTCATATAAGACGGATTCGTATAACATGGCGGAAAAATTGCAATCGTGTTCGTATAACACGCTAAAAGAGCCTCGTATAACACGGTAAAATTATGTGACAGATTGTCACGTCGAGATACCTAAATAAGGGGACGGCGAAATTTTCCTTTGCCCCGGGCGGCTGACACCCACGCTACGCCACTGATCCTTTCACTAAGTTTTCGATTTCTTGTAAAATTCTTACTCGTATATTTTTACTTACTCATCTAGTGTGATATTTGTCTATAGATCATATAANGAATAATACAGAAACAAAAAAAATTATATTTTAAAAGTTTGTTTTAATATAAAAATTGTGACGCATAGCGACATCTAGTATCAAAAACGTTCCAATATAAACACGAAAATATTCGGGATCGCCCACGCAGGTCAATGAGGTCAGCACGAATATTTTCGGGAACAATGTAGGATAGGTTAAAAAGTTGAATTTTAAAAATGTGCCAAATAGCGAATTATGCTAAAGTTGAGGGCCTCCTGTAGATACTTTTGACACTTGTTGCACTGAAATCTGTTTTTTCTGTCTTTTTTCTTGGAAACGTTGCTTTTGTGATAATTTGGCAGGAGGTTGGTCATCTCTGCTTTGTTTTGTTAAACGTTTCAATCTTAGTTTCAGCTCAGTTGTGAGATGCTTGTTGCCTTGTTTTTGCAAATTATAAGGTTCAATAAGCTTCAGGCCCATTGCTTTGATGAAGGCCCTTCGGATCATTCCAGTTGCTGTATTATTTTCATAAACTTCTTGAGCATTTATTCCTGCTATATTCATCAATGCAGAAAACAAAGTCAAAAGCCAGTGCCTGCTGTTTCTGGCTATGCTATATGTAGCACATAACTGACCAACAGTATCTACACCACCTTTGGTGATATTGTAAAGAAAAATAATTTTTGGTTTTCTTTCATCACCTGTGATCTCATCAATTTTTGCATCATAATGCATGCTTGAGAGCAGCATCACTACTATTCCATTTTTTTAGGAACATAAGACACCAAAGTTATATCCTTTTGGAATCCAAAAAGACTTAATTTTTCTGCTGACCTTTTGCCTCTTTGAAGTGTGTTGGAATTTCTCTTTTGATTTTTTTCATTGTCTCAACAACCTGTCAGTTTATGGTCGTTTAGTAGACTTTGTACAAGTGGATAGCTTGTAAACTGATTGTCAAAAATAATGTTCCTCCAAGAGTCCTCTATAGGTGAGATCAATCTTTTTGATGAAAAACTTAGAGCACGTGATATTTGTGGTTAGTTGTTTCCAACTTTATCATAAAGATCTTCATCATTGGCAGCATCTTCTGATTTTGAATTGTGTTCACTAACACTTTAAAAGCAACATATTCACATTTGTATATTTCCATTATACTGTATAGAGAAAAATAGGATGAAAATATGGAAAAAATTTTTTCTGTTTCTGGATAAGAGAGATTCTGTGAAATAGAATACAGACAGATGAAAGTCTGAAAGTGTTTACTTAAAAGTTAATTTAAATTAAAATATGCAACCAAAAAACCAAAATGGAACTTTAATGCAGAAACAAACATTTTCTACCATTTTGGTCATCATCAGGTTAATTTAGTTTAAAATAGAATAAACATGATGAAAGATACAATTATAAAAATTAGAACATTGCCATTGATTGGTAATTTAAAAAAATTGAACTCCATTAAAGCTATATATCTAGCTGGTAGAAATGAAATTTTCCATTATGATAAGATTTCCATTGAATGGAGTGTCCATTACATGGAGATTTTATTGTATTAATTTTAGTGATTTTGGAAAAATAAAACTCATGGATTGTATTTTTGTAAAATTCATTTTTGTATTTATTAAAAAAAAAGAACTCCTTTGAGTTTTTTTTAATAAATACAAAAATGAATGTTCATTTACAATTAAGACTTGGTCTACTCAAATATGGAAATACCCTTTTTTAAAATGTCAAATTATATATTCTGAAATTTAATATCTAAGAGAATCTTAAAATCCTAGAATTTAAATATTATAGAACTTATTATATAGATTAATAGTCTCAATTTAGAAATTTGATAACTTTTGAAAATAGATTAGATATTTAACTTATGATTCTATTAAAAAGAAACAATCAACTATAATTTTTAAAATTAAATATAGCCTACTTATTATTTCAAAATCTGCAAAGAATATTTTAAAACATATTCATTATTATAACATATAAGAAGTACTCGCTCCTAAGACTGATAGTGATTCATTTATGTCAATATTAATATTTCATACTTGTCATTGTATATACAGAAATAGCTCAGATTAGAATTAGACATTTACTAGAATGGCATGAAATATTCTGTTATAACTGTTATTAGAGAATTAATTAATTAGGATTATAGTTGATAATTAATTAAGTGTAATAAGTTGAATAATAAAATCTATACAACAAGAATTTTATGCTATTAGTCTATAAAATAGTCAACACATTAGTAATAATATCTTAACTCACTATTGCAGTATTATTTTACACTTCTTACAAATTTAAAAATCTTCTTACGTGAATACTGGAAAGCATATAAATGACCACTCCTAAACCTTAAAAGTCCAGTAGTAAACGTTTAATAGCAAACAAACATTTTCGACCGTACTTTCAGTCTTCTTCAGGTTTAAAAAACCAGTGAGATTCAAACAAGTGAATGCGTAGAACAAAGATTATGAAATTATTTTCACTTCTACCCAAGCTAAGAGCCCTATGTTTAAGAAAAGCGATACGAACAACAAGAAGGATCATATTTTCCAAACTCAATGGCGTAATTAAAGTGGAGAATCAGCTGCATGACGGAAATCCTGCATTACTTTAGGAAGTCGACAGAAGGGTAACCATCTTTCAGGAAATGCTCGAATGAAGCCTTACCAAAAAGTATCAGAAGAAATTGGCATGGATTCTGGTAAACAAAAACCTCAGGATGCGTTACATAGCTGCTCCTTAGTTTGCTGGGACAACATTTCACCCCCGAGATTTCTCATCTGCACTCTAATGCATAGTCCTATATACACACCGGGTGATTCCATAATACAACCTGAAAAGGTAATGCCTGACATTGAAAACCTCATCACAAATATGACTGCTGTCCACAAAGAATATTATAGATGGAAAACTGCTTTCAAGATCCAATCATCCAACAACCAGAACCAGAATCACGGTTTCTGGAATCTGCTCTCAAGATCCAAGAAATGGTTAGCAGAACAACACATCATCGTCCTCCAGGCAGATAAAAGCAGGGCCCTTGTCTTATTGAAAGAGGACACTTATAACTTGTTAATGCAGACATACATAGTGGACACTGACTGTGAACCCATTGATGAACTGTACGTAAATAGGCTATAAGCACAGGTATCCGTTGCTTCCGCCCCAAAAATACCACAGTTCTTCTCGAGCCTCCATGTTTCACAGAGATTCCAGGCTGGGAATCTCTCTATCATCCTATTATGTATTTTTGAAGCGTCAGTCCCAATTAACATCCACCCTTACCAGTAGCTGTTCACTAGCTCATCAAAGAGTGCCCTATATTCACCCTGATGGCTAAGGTTGACTTTCTGATAGGCTGTGATATTTAACTTTTGTTGGATATGTGTGGTGTTAGTCAGGACCCTCCTTTGCCAATGGATGAGGGTGGTGGATATACCAATTTGACTCAGGTATGAGAAAGCCCAAGACACATAGGGCTCCTGGAACCAGCTCCAATTATAGTACCCGAGGCACTTTGCAGTTGAAAAGAGCCTATAGAGGGAACTGTAGGGGCCGTGCGAAATGTGAGCTGTTTTGTGAGTGACCGTCCGTAGGTACTGTACAGCCTAAGCTTAAGGCCAATGTACCCAGTCTCGGTGTATAAGGATAGAAGCGGTGTGGTTTGAGGGATCCCAAGGGCCATGCGAAGAGTGGCATGAATTGGTTTTTCTATTCTTTGGATGGTCATTGGAGGTGCATCGTCCAAGAGCGGCACTCCAAATTCCACCATCGGGAGGAGGACCATATTGACTAACTGAAGTAATTCTGCTGTGTGGGCCCTGGGATGTGAAATACCTTAGATATGACCCCGCCCTTGTGAGCTTATTCCATAAGAACTGTTTGTGAGAGTGCCACGTAAATGTGTGGGAAAAATGAAGCCCCAATATCCTGATTTAGGTCTTCTGGGGGATGGTGCCTGAGAGAAGCTGGAGTGAGACCAGCAGCCAGTGTCTCTTTGGAGAGAAATCTATTGTCGTGCTTTTAGTAGCCGAAAAGGCCATACTCCACTGCATCGCCCAGTGTTCTAGATGTTCAAGAGCTCTTTGAGCTCTGTAGGTTGCCATAGTTGGCTTTGTACTGGTGGCAATCAGGTATAAGTTGTCAACGTAAAGAATTGCTGTGATATCTGTGGGAAATGCTGTCCATAGGTCGGCCGTGAACAGGAGAGAGGCTAACACACTCCCCTGCGGTACCCCTTGGAGGAATGGGTGGGGGAATGATTTCACACCGCTCCACTTGATCTGGTACTCTCATTGTAGGAGGAAAGAGGACAACCACTGATAAGGCTTCCCTGCGATCCAATTATGCTCCAGTTTGGCAAGCAGAACGAGCTGATATACTGAATTGTACGCCCCCTCTAGGTCTATGGGACCATGTACACCCATTTCCGTTGAGCTCTAGCTACTGCTATGGTATGGTGAATCAGGATTATGGCATCCTCTACCCCCTGATAGGGGATAAACCTGAAGTGGTTCCTGTGAAAAAGGGTTGAGGCCACCAAGGAATTTTGTAGACGATTTAGGATCATACGTTCGAACAAGCTGGTTTGAGGATCGGTATCATATACACAAGTTTNGCTGGAAAGAATACTAAATAATGCTGGAGTTGGAACTCAAAGGATTATAGACCCAAATTTGAGAAAAGGAGAGAAAGACCAAAAGATAAAAAGTAGTGAGGAAGGTTGGAAAATTAAAGGTCAATATTTGCATACCCTTAAATTAACATTTAACCTTTCTCACCTCCTTTTTATCTTTTGGCCTTTCTCTCCTTTTCTCAAATTTGGGTCTATAATCCTTTGAGTCACAACTTCAGCTTTATTTAGTATTTCTTCGTCATCTACACATCTCCAAGTATTTGAAAATATTTCCTTTTCACTCAAAAATAAAATATGTATAAAGTTTACGGCTTTGTGAAACTTCTTTTTTGAGTTTATGCCGTTGAAATAAAAAAATAAAACAATTTGTTGGTTTTGTTTACACATTTATTGGGCCGCATGCGGGCCACAGGTTGGACATCCCTGGTTTAATTCATATATAAATTTATATTATGTCATTCATTTTAAAATATCTGATACAAACTGATTTAGATGATGAGTGGTCAAACATTGAAAAGATTATATTTGTTACTGATAATCAACATTTGATTGTTTAAGCAGCCTCCCTAACCAATAAAAGATCATAAAATTCTTATGGTTATCAGAAATTATTTTCAATATAGCTCATATGAATTTTATTTATTTTTTTATATCCTTCCATCATAAATCACTCAAATCAAGGACAAGTTTTTTTTTCATTTTTTGATTAAGTTATATTAAAAACCTCCCTTACCCACCATCTTGAATTTACCATTTTTCTGTTCCCTGTCTTTAGATGATCTGATAAAATGACAGTAAAAGCTGATGATTGGTTAGCTGAATTATTATTGAAAGTTGAAATATTTTCATCTACCGACAAAATAAATTTAAAACTGCCACTTCATATCTACTTTATAGCGATTTGTATGCTTGAATCCTGGTATGAATCTAGCTTTATCTAAAACTTGAAACTTTTTAACTGCAATATTAGTAATTGTATTGGAACAAAAGAGGTGTGTCTCTTAAAACCTTGATGAATATTGTTTAATAGATATGAAAATAACCATAATTTAAAATAAGGATCTGAAACTCAGTCAGCCAATTGCAGAGACAGAGTTTACGTTAAACGACATTTATCAACGGTCTATAGAACGGCCTATAGACATTGGCTGGCTGAACCACGGTTTAAAATGCATTGCAAAGATGACGATCATCTATTTCTGACTGTTCTCTAAATGAACTTTGGCAAAATATTGGCTCTTACTTACTTCGCTATTACTCCCCTGTTTTAGTTGTTCGGCCAATCGGGTTATTTGTTTGTGATGTCAGAAATGGTCGCCAGCTATGTTCTGAAAGCTTCCAGAAAAGCCATCAAAACCATTGT